GGCGAAGCCTATGGTGACGGCTCCGCTCCAAGGCCTCCGCACGAATGAAATCACGGCGGCCAGAAGCGCCAGGGGAGACCGAGAGACCCCCGGGCTGGCAGGGGTTGAGGCTAATGGAAGTTTTGAGCAAAATGCTCCATTGGCTCCACTTTGACAAGAGACAGCCCCACGGATAAAACACTTCCCGGGACACCGGCCCTCAGCCGAGACAGCAGAGCTGCCAGGGCTTAGGTCAGCCCCGAGGCCCGTCCTGCCCAGCGCCCCAGGGACATGTACACAGCACGCCACCTGCGCGCCCCGCACGGCGCAGCCCTTCCGCGCTTGTCTGCATGAAATGACCCGGCAGCAGCTGCTGGCCAACGATTAGTATCAGCCCCCCACCTCCCCCTTCACAAGGGAGAATGGTAATAAATTATTATTATTTTCACCATTTTTGGGCCTCTTTTTCTGTCCAGGCCCCAGTTTGCCCACACCCGTGACCCGAATGACTACACAGCACTGCTGGCAAATGGCTGGTGTGTGGCGCTGACCGCCGCGCGGCCACGTCGCACTCCGCTTGGTGCCGCGCGACTACTGCGCAGTAATCTGGGGCTAGTGGCGGCTCGTGTAAACACGGCCTCCACAGCGGAAAGGGCACGACCCCTTTCCTCTCTCGCTCTGGTTCGAGGCCGTGCCCCTCGCCCGCAGGCTCAGCAGGGACGGGCGCCTCTTTCCTCCAGGAGCGTGCCCAAACCCCTTCGGCCGGCCGAACCGGCATCTCCCACCGCACTGGGGTGCCAGGCTGCGTGACGACGGGCCCCGCAGGCGCAGGCTTAGGAGGGCCGTCTCCTCGCCATGCGGAAACGGGGCTGAACTCGGCACCCAGCCTGGCAGCCCCGGGGGGACTTTTAGTACCGGCCTCCTTTCGCCAGAGATGATGATAATCATCGCTGTTAGTGTACAGCGAGTGCATACTGATAATGGTGCTGGTTATGGTCCCAATGATGATGATTATTAGGCAGTGTAGTGCTGCATTATCATCATCATCTTCCCCACTTTCGGGCGCTGTCGCCCAGGCGGTGCGGGGCCCTGGCGGGGCGGGGCGGGAGGAGCCAGCAGGGAGGTGCTTCTGCCTCGCGCGGGGAAGAAGGAAGATTTCGTTAGGTTTGAGCCCAGTGAGCCACGGCGGCGGCCCCCGCTAGCCGGCAATGGCCGAG